TTTGTATATTAAAAAATTATAGAAATTATATATTAATAATCTATATGTTAAGACAAATCAAACAAGATCACGTACACATGACTATATTTAGGCTTACACATTGAAAGAATTTGATAAGTCAAAGTGCTTAGATGAACAGTTCCAAAAGTCAAAAGTGGACAAAAACTGGGGGACGGAGGGAGTAATTGCATGTTCCCAATGTTTTGAGATTACATACATAAGGTTCTAATGTCAAAAGAACCTAGCTAGCACATATGTTAACAACCAAAATAAATTGTGAAGTCAAACCAAGACTTTTGTTTAGAAATAGCGTAATTTCATTTACTCTTGTGTATCTTTTTTTCTTGATAAGAGTATACAAAGTTATGTTTGCATTAATTTGAAAGGCTATATTTGCAAACCAATTAAGTCCCTTTAGTGATTAAGAAATTAAACTTTACCGAAAGGAAAAGGAAGGACAATTGAAGAATAAATGAGGGGTCACGAAATAATAATGGAATGTGTCTGGCGGGGTACGGAGTGTGGTATTAAATTGAGAATTGATATGGAGCCTCAAATGCAGTTGCGCCGAAACTATAGGAGAGCCCTTATTTTCATGTCTCTTTTTTTGAGGGAGAGTTTGTTACAATTGGTTGAATATGACTTCAATTAATGCCCACATTTCTAAACCACCAACAACATCTAATTTTGTGCTTGCTAGCTAGCTAGCCAGCCAATAATTAATTGTTCTTAGTAGTCATGATATCAATGTGATTTCAATTCATTCCTTCATCTTGAAATTATTGTCATGTTTCACATAACGAGCACGCTGGATTTGGATCGAGGGTTTATTTTCAATTTAATTTGTTTAAATAATGATATAGGCCTTGTTTGGAAAGAACGTTTTCAATCCGCGTCAGCGTTTTAGATAAAATTTTGACAATGTAGATTAACTCTGAAAGCGCTAACGCTAAAGGCTATCGTCAGATAACCTTTTCAAAACGCTAACGCTGATGCCAAACGGAGCCGTAAAATGTCAAAATAAAGTTTATATTCTCTCTCCCAAAAAAGTTGACTTAACTTGACATTTATGCCAACTCTGATCATAAATTGTGAAAAATATATACGGAGTATTTAATTATATTGTAAATTTAATATAATTAGGTTCGATTTAAGTTCGATATAATTTAGGATGTAGGGAATATATTTACTAAAAAATTATATAAAATGTTTTATAAAACCGGATGTGGCATGATTAACGAAAATAAATGAAAAAAGGAAAAAATTAATTAACAAACAATAGAACAAAACTACTGCGCATAAATTAATACGGAGTACCATTAATTCTTAATTCCTATTCATCATTAGACGATTAGTCAGTGATTCCATTAATATAAAACGACCGTTTGAAACACAGACGTCCTGCTGCTGGCCCTATCTGTGCATTGCATACATTGTATTGCTCTCAATTAATCAGGAAAAATTACCCTCTTGACCCCAATTTTATTTACATTTAATTTTTTATTATCAAATTTTAAAAATATTAATGTGATTTATGAAAAAAAATACTATGTATTTAATTATAATATAAATAAATGTAATACAATCAAGTTTATTTTAAAATGTATTTTTACTATATATATCAACTTTTTATAACATTTTCCTTAGTGAAAGTATACTTACATTTTATTTTTTTTGTTATTGAGACTTCAAAATATACTTTTGAAGCGAGAGAGGTAAATAGTACATTTTGAAGTCCTGATATAAGAAATGGAAATCAAATACCTTTATTTTTTCCTTCTTTACAAAGACTAATTATAAAATTCAAATGTAAAGAAGATTTTGGGACGAAAGAATAAGAGTATTATTTAATTTCGTACACCTTTAATATAAAAAAAAGATAAAAAAAAAAGAACGAACCCTATCGCTGATCGAGGGCTTCTCAGAAGTTAGAACCGGTTGGCAGTCACAACTCACAAAAAAGATTGAACTTTAATTATAGATTGACAGATGAAAGGGGAAGCCTGCACCTGGTTGTTTTACTAATGCAGTTGGGTATTACTCTCGAGGCACGTCTTGCCTTACCAACTGAAGTACCGCCTAAAAAACTCACTTGGATATATATATACACTACTTAATTATGCACCAATAATTAAAAAGTACAAGAACTTGGTGGACCCTTAAAATAATTTAAGCACTTGGAGAGTACTTTTGAAAATATATAATTAAAGACCTAATGAAATTTTACATCAATATTTTAATTAATTAATTTGAAAACTAACTTTGCTCACTTTTTTTATGTTTTTTTAAGAAACACTTGCTCACTTTAGACATACCTGCACAACGCATAGGGGTTGATCATCCTTCTCCAAGAAATCAAACCCGGCGGCAACGAGTTGCCGGAAAGCCGGGTTCGGATAAACCAGGTCTCCGATCTCCTCCAGCTCGAACTCACTCGCCGCCCGGACGAACCCCACCCCCGCCCCATTGCACTCGATCTCCAGCCGCCCCGCCGCCGCTCCCCCGCCCTTCCTCAGCCTGCCGGCCAGCCAGTCGTAATGAGGGAACTGCAGCAGCCTCCGCAGCGCCTCCTTCGCCCTCGCCGCCGCCTTCTCCGGCGGGAAGTCCGGGTTCTTCTCGAAGAAGTGAAGAGTCTGGACGTCGAAGTTGAGGACCTTGTCTATGTTGGACAAGAACATGGACCGGTTTCCGGTCTCCTGATGAGGCGGGACGACCAGGCCGGCGTCGTGGATTGTCACCTTCAGGTCGCCGGGAAATGCCGCCGGTTTCCGGTAGAGCGTCCCCATGGAGACAGATAATGGATATATGTGTGTGTATATATATATATATATATAACTAATTGATGGGTTTTGTGTGTGTGTGTGTGTGTATTTATAATTATTATTGGAGGGTACGTGAAATGGTAGGTGCCGGTGGATTTGTATATATAGATAGATGTGTGTGTGATAAAGATGCAGCCACACCCTCAAACAAAATAACTCGACTTAAATGACCAAATAAAGACCTACCAAATGTAACTCTAGTATAGGTCACTTTTAGACTTAATAAGTTTTAACTTATCTATCTTATGTTATGGGTTAATTTGTGTTACATTTTCCATTTTAAAAGGACGAGCTTCATTCCCGAGATCCCTTTAGACTTCAGAGGTAGTGGGGAATCATTGAAAGATTATAAATTAGACTTTAATTCCTGTTTGGTGATAAAAAGTGAGCATGTATCTGATACTTGCAGAGTCGATATACTTATCATATATAATTGCATGTCCTTTTTAGTTCTTAGTGGTTCAACGCAATGTCTAGATTGACGACCTTGTTTGGAATTAAGCACACAACACACACAAATATCTGCGAGAATCAAGAGAGAACAGAACACAAACGACATACAAAAATTTAACGTGGTTCAATTTCCTTAATTCACGACTACAGCAAGAGGATTTTATTAATTTGTCGTGTCTCAGAAATTACAAGTACAAAATGCATATATATGGAATAAACCTAGGGCTACACCTTGTTCCCCAAGAAACAAGGATGAGCTAAAAATACGACGGGCCAAGCCAAGTCAGACCCAAACATATCTAGCCTCCACAAACCCAACAGACCTATTGTATTTAATGCTACTTCCTCTTATCTTTTTTTAATGTTTAACATTTTACTTTTTTAATACAACATTATGATCATTAATATCTTTATTTATATATAAACATACATTATAAAAATATGTACTCATAGTTTTGTTTAAAGTTATGTTTTAAAATGAACCAATTGGTATTAAATTTATTTTATAATTTAATTTTTTTCATAATTTGTATGTAAAATATTAAAATATTGACCATAAAAGTTAAAATGAAAAGAAAGATTTGAAACAAGAGATAATGAGAAGTAAATTTGTTGTAATTTTCATATGTTGTCTCGGTTTAATTTATATTATCGATAGTCCATAAATTTTCTTGATTGGGTGACGAGTGTTGGCAATGACAATGATCGATCCCACCTATTGTTAATACTCCATGTGATTTTCAACGGGGATTTTACCTAAATAAGACTAATACATAATGACTTTTTTAATATAGGATCATATATTTTAATTTCTCAATGTAGGACTATTGGTCATTATCCAATTAGGAGTATAATGTGAATAAAGTATGGGCAGCCATTTTCGAGCTCGCCTATTACACTCCGTGTTAATATGTTTCAACTTTCAATTACGGTTTGAGCCGTTATAAAATGGAAATACGTTTTACAGAACGATTACACGCAAAAAAGGTTAATGAATTACCTATCACATACATCATATCTTTTTACTGTTAAAAAGTCATATTTACCCCTTACTTTTTTCATACCATACCTATCACATCATACCTTTTTACTAATAATCTACCTATCAAATCTTACTTTTACCCATCACATCAAAAAACTTTTTGGAAATTCAATACCAAAATACAGTTCTCTTAAATCTCTTAAAAATCAATAACTTTCATATTTTTAATTTTTAGGACCGGAGGGAGTATTACTTAGCTTATGCATTTTCATTGATAATCTGATACTCCATATAATAAAACAGACATATCATTATTTGTTTTTGTACAACTTTTGATACTTCGTATAATTTTTAAATATGTAATTTATATTTTTATTCAAATATAAATTTGTAAATAAAATTATTTTCAAAGACACTCCCTCGATCCTATCAAGATGTTTCTTATCATTTTTTGCATATCCCATATAACACTTCTACATCATCTCAAATTCTAAAAAAACTTTTAAAACAATTCTACACGCTATAAAGGAGAAGTGCAATCAATTTAAGATATTATAGATGTGGATAAACGTGTTTAATTTAAGATATTATAGATGTGGATAAACGTGTTTTATGTGATATGATGAAAACTAAACATGAACATTTTTCGAGATGAAAGAAATTATGCTAAAAATGATTGTGGATTTAGAAAAAAATATATAATTGAGTATTGATGAAGATTCACATTTGACTCCAAGTGTACCCGCATCCCGGACTTTTGGGCACCATTTTTTTTCAATGTTTCATTCTCGTTATCGTCAAACTCAAAGTAATGAATCTTTATGGATTGATCCGGTTGATCTGCGCCACAGAATAATTCTCGTTATTTTTCGTCGTTCGTTGCCGTCCTTACTGTATAACACGCGATAATTCGGCTGAAAATCATCACAGTCATTGAAGAATGGAGGTCTCGGCTTCTGCCCGGCCGCTAGACAACGCCGATGAACTCATCAACGCCGTCGGGACTTTCATCTTCGATTGCGACGGTAAGCGCCACCGTTTCCTGATCTTCCTGTTTTCTTTTTGCTCTGCGCGGTTCTATGCGTATGTTAGATTTGATTCAGCTTATGAAACTGGTAAATTGGTATTGGATATGTAATCCTTGATGTTTTGATTGCTGATTTGTAGAGCCATTGAATTGAGTTAAAAGTATGTTAGCACCATTCTAGCCTTAACTAGAGAATGTTGAAGTATAAAATGGGAGTGTTAATCTCACTTTATAAGCAAGTAAACTTTTAGAAATCTTCCAATTGGCAATAAAAATTAGCTTTTGCATGTGAAATGGAGTATGAAGCACACTAAATAGCTATTGTATTATGTACAAGCATCTTGCTTGAGAATTCTGTTAAACTCATTTTTTCAGAAAGCAAAAATTGATAAAATATTCTTGTTGCAATGTATGTCTCTTGATAGTCTATCTTCCCAGTTATATATTTTCCTTCAGATCATCTCTAAAAGTATCCAACCATTCGTAAATAAATTGATAATAATACAACAACTCAATAAAGCCCCAAAGTTGGGTTTTGGAGAGGGTATGTGTATGGTGGTCTTACCCTACCTATACAGGCATACAGCCAAGATGAAAGTAAAATATATCTTTAACTTTTAAGTTATTCTCTTCCAACAATATTGGTTGTGGTTTAACTGGGTTTTGTCATTTTTATTTTGTATCTTGCAGGAGTTATATGGAAAGGAGATAAATTGATAGATGGAGTTCCCGAAACATTGGACATGCTCAGGGCAAAGGTCAGCATTCTATTACTATGAATAAAGGATACTATATATCAGGCTTAGCATTGGATTTAATATTGTATTTTCTCTTCTACGATGTACTACCTCCATCTCATAAATATCTTCAAAGTTTGACTTTCACGGAGTTTAAGAAAAGTGAAAACTATGAAGTTGAACTTTGTTTTGACTAGAGATTTTTTATAGCCTTATGTTCATTTCTTTAAAAGGAAACAAAGTAAGTAGGAAGTTTTTTTGGGATAGAGGGAGTAGTTGTATCCTAACATCCTTTAAGGAAACCTTCATTCTTTCTTTCCACAATTCACTTGTTTTTTTGGCTTTTTCATTCTTCAGGGAAAGGGATTAGTTTTTGTTACCAACAACTCAACGAAATCTAGGAACCAATATGGGAAGAAGTTTGAAGAACTAGGCCTTCATGTCACTGAGGTAGTCACTGACTTTTTTTTTTTGGCCTTCTTTCAAACCAAAACTTACTTGGTCATCTAATCATTTTCCATTTGATAGGAAGAAATATTTTCATCATCATTTGCAGTTGCTGCTTACTTGAAGTCCATTGATTTCCCAAAAGACAAGAAGGTGAGTAGGAAAAGGATAGGTAATTTACCAGTTACCACCGTGATTCTTGAAATATTTGTAGTCTTGGAAGTTTTATATTGTTGTCCTTGTTTACCTTTTCTAGTTCTTTCACTTTCTAAGGTAAGAGACTCTTATAAAATAGGGCAGTATGTATGTGCAATGTTCATCAAGCTGCTAAGATTCATAGTATGCAGTGTACTTTTGATCCACAATTGGCTGAGACTTTAATTGGCATGCATTCGTTCAAGGTATACGTAATTGGTGAGGAAGGGATATTGAAGGAGCTCGAGTTAGCTGGGTTTCAGTATCTCGGGGGACCGGTATGTCAAAATATCAGAAAATGTCATCTCTGGCGACTCTTTACACTATGATTGGTTTGTGGAATTAAGAAAGGAAAATGTGAAGGTAAGAAAAAGAAAGTCAAAGAAACCTAAAAACTTAATCTTGCTTGGTTATTAAGGAAATTCGTGAAGAAATAATTTGTCAATAACTTTTATATTTGGTTGTTGTAGAGAAAACAAAAGAATACATTGTTCAATGAGGGGGCGGGCAGGTGGGGGAGGGAGGGAGGGTGAGGGTGGGGGTAAGGGAGGAGGGAGGGAGGGGTACTAGGTAGGGGGAAGCAGAGGGAAAATTGTGGTGTTTTCTCTCCTTTTCCTCACAAAAAATGGAAGAAAAATCACATTTCCAATTTGACTTTACATTTTCCTTACCTTTTCTTTTCCTCCCAGTTTTATTTTTTTTCCTCCCTAACCAAACACCCAAATTGCTTTTCCTTACAATTTTCCTTTCTTTTTTCTTCTGAATCCCTTGAATCAAACATATTGTTAATTTTGAACACTTATAGTGTTTGTACTTTCACATATCTTTTCATGCAGGGGGATGGCGAGAAAAAGATAGAACTAAGGCCGGGATATATGATGGAGCATGATGAGAATGTATTTCTCCTCACATCTAGATTTTTACTTAGTTATTTTAGTTTACTTTTTTAAAAAATAAGCTAATCAACATACTTTGTGATGTCTAAAATCAGAAAAGTGAGTCACACATTAGCAACAAAGGTCTCACTGTGCCATGTGTGCAGAAAGGAAGGGAACATGGCACCACATCAGCAACAAAAGTTAACATATTAGCTCCATACACCTTTTTATGTTTATGGTTTCGAACACAACCCAACCCTCCTTTTGCAAAAACAGATAGAGCAAGTGCCCCTAATTCCAAATGCGCCAAGCCGCGCTAGACTTTTTTTTGTAGTTTTCCTTTTGTATTATGCGCAATTGTGAGTCCTGTCTTTTTAAAATATTCCATATTAAATTTGTTTACCCAATAAATGTTCTCAACTAATTTTAAGCGAAATAAAAGTCATTTTAAGTTGCACTAAGAGTTGTGTCAAACTTCATTCAGGTTGGAGCAGTTGTTGTTGGATTTGATCGTCATTTTAATTACTACAAAGTACAGTAAGTTTCCATGTATTCCAGTACCTTCAATGTTTTTTCTACTCTGCTCAATGGAGTAGAATTTATTGAAATCGCTTGAAAGCTTCTTTGTTCTTGCTACTGTGTTTACTCTATCTATGCTTTTTGTGCCGGGGGTCTCCGGGAAAGAGTCTCTTTTTCCTAGTACGGCTATAGGGGTAAGGTCTGCATACACACATGACACACCCTCCCTAGACCAATGTTTTGAGAAATGGACCGGACGTCGACCCGGACAAGGGACTGGGTCAAGGGCTAATCGGTTAACCGGGGTCAACTCGGGTCAATGAACCAGTAAACGTATTTTTACATGTTCCAACTAGTTAATATATTTAAAATACTCAAACTATGTAATTTTTTCAATTTATGTCTTGAGAAAGAAATAAAGGAAAAATAATTATATTCTAGCATATTAAATTATACTCCGTAATTAGTAAATACATAGGGGTATTATTTGATTTTTAAAGATAGCAATGAACTTTCAAGTATTTTTAGATAAAAGATAAATAATGCTTGTTTTTTCTTTAAAATACTCCGTCTTTAAAAAGTTTATAAAATAAGTACTTCAAAATGCATTACATAACTCTTTTAGAAAAAACTATAAAGAAGTCAGTTACAATAAATAATAAATGCTACGGGATACATACAAGGTTGCATAGCAATACAAACAAATGGCATCATTGTTTGATTGGTTGAGGTGCTTGAAATAAATGCATGGGATATTTGGGTTTGAAACCCGTGGGTGTTCTTCTTTTTTCAGATTTTAAAATTGTCTAGGCGTAACCCGTGACCGCCTGGATTGACCCGGATCGCCCGGTTTGGCGGGTCGGACGGGTTTTACCGGATTTTAAGAAAACGGGTTTCAGAGTTAGACCGGACTGGAAGCCTACGCGGTTCACGGTTGGACCAGGCGGTCCGGTCCGGGTCTGATAACATTGCCTAGACCCTAATCTGCAGGATTCTAGTGGGTCCTTTTTGTTTTTGCTGTTGTTGCTTGAAAGCTTCTTTTTTTAGGTCATTGAAAGTTGTCTAACCTTCTCTCTCATTGTTTTTGCTTTTCTTCTGATATATATCTTACCATTTCGTATTATGATCAAAGGTATGGAACACTATGTTTACGTGAAAATCCAGAGTGTCTTTTCATTGCAACAAACTGTGATGCTGTCACTCATCTAACAGATGCTCAAGAATGGGCAGGTATGTTTTCTCCTTTTTCTAATTCGTGTTCAATATCTCATTAGTAAGTGTTCCCGATTTTGTAAATTTAGTCCCTCAATTGTCATGAATGAGATATCGCTCCTTTGATGCTTTTTACGGAGGAGCTTGTTTCAGGTGGCGGTTCAATGGTAGGCGCCCTAGTGGGGTCCACACAACGCGAACCGCTTGTTGTAGGGAAGCCTTCAACTTTCATGATGGACTACTTATCGAACAAGTATGTTCCTAGCATTACTCCATGTATTCACATATAGCTGCACATTTAGCATTTCAGTTTAGTGGAAAATGGTAAATGACCAAGTTGCCCTCCTATATCAATTTTGCTTTGGGTTATTACTTTTAATACTTTGAAATGATAAGGGCATTTTAACTTTTTGTCACAAAATCAATTATCTCTTTAAAACAACAACTCAGTTGAATCCCATAAAAAATAGGGTCTGGAGAGGGTAATTGTAGGCTGACCATACCCCTTATTTGAAGTGAGGCCGTTTCCAAGGGACCCCGGCTAAAACTCAGGAGTACATACAATCAAACCACAGTATCACTAACGTAGTACGAGAAAAAAAATGGAAGAAGCATATGCCGACCCAAATTGGATCCAAAGCCCACCAACACAAACTACATACTAAGGTATAAAAACACGTACTAGTAAAAGCTACAAACAAAGGCTCAAACAACTATCCGACTTCTCTAATCTTAGACCTCCAGACCTTCCTGTTTAAGGTCAAGGGGTCGTAAGTCATGTCTAATCACCTCCATCCAATTCTTCCTAGGTATAGTCTACCCCCTCTCAAACCCACTACTACATGCCTCTCACATCTCCTTACAGTTTCAGCCTACAGGGCCTCAACACTCCTAGCATGTCTAAATCATCTCAACATAGTTTCTTGCAGCTTCTCCTAATCTCCTCCACTAGTGCTACTTCCACCCATCCCCAAATATACTCGTTCCGGATCTAGTCTATCGGCGTGCGACCACACATCCACCAACTCAGCATCCTCATCTCTATTACTTGAAGCTGCCGAACACGAGCTTTCTTCCTCGAATTATCACTTTAAAATGACATACTCCGTACATTTTTTATGGGCAGTCATTTAGTACCTTAATATTCTCTATTCTCTGGTTCGGAATGCGGATACTCTTGTCCATAATGGAACCACAACAGATTCAATATTGAGAAGTCGAAGATATGCATGGTTGGCGACAGGCTAGATACAGATATACTTTTTGGACAAAATGGGGGCTGCAAAACTCTTCTTGTCCTCTCAGGTAACTCCCTACCAACTTTGCATTTTTTTCTTCCACTTTCATTTCAACGACCAACACATCTCATCTCATAATTAGTATATCCAATTCTCTGCGTGTCATTCATTTTGTGTTTCAAGGTGTTACAAGTCTATCAATGCTCCAAGATCCCAAAAACGCAATACAACCCGACTTCTACGCGAACAAGATTCCTGATCTTCTCTCTTTGTAAGTCGTTGCGGTGGATTAAAACTAATTGTAGTTCAAATTGGATTAAAACTATTTGTAGACCAAATTCACACTGCCTTTTGTTTCAATTCACACATAAAACTCGTCGTTTACGGTACAAACAGTACTTGTTTGTGTCCCACAGACACGAGTTTTGTCTCTGAAATGCAAAAAAAAGGTGGTGTAAAGTTTGTGATTTGTATATTGATACCGGTTCAAATATGTATAGTAAGGCCCAATACACCCGGTACACTATATTTAATTCAGAGTATCCGGATCAAAGTTTATAATTTCGTGTATACTTTTGGCTTACACCAAGAGTGAATCAAACAAATTAGATGGGGGAGTAAAGACCAAATGTACCAAAAATGAGATGCATTGTGCCTTTTAGCCACACCAAAAAGGGTCGCATTCATGTTAGATGGTTAGTCCTTTTGCTTTCTGTTTTACATACCTGTTGGCTACACCAAAAGGACCAATATTAGATAATGAGGATGGTTTTGAGTGACATTTTATGCATTCCATATCATGCCCATTTTGGGAATCAAGGAAAAATTGTAGTCACAATTTACTTTCTCCTGGGCATTCAAAAGGTTAAAAACACCAATTTTCATACTTTATTTTACGATATTTTAGATAATTCATTATATAATTTTTTACTGAAATGTAAGATGGACAACTAATGGGTAATTACTTTGAAAAAAATAACTCTCCTACGATGAATTTTACAGGACAATCACCCCGCGATAATCACGATTTTTAATTTTTCATTCATATTTTCAGTAGCAAGCACTTCACATGTTCCTCATGTAATTTATGGTTTTCACACAATTTTTAGGGAAAATTTTTTTCACGTCTTAATTTTGAGAGATTGAATTGATAGCCACTAACTATTACTCCCTCTGTCTCAATTTAAATTGCATGTTTGCCTTTTTTCTCCGTCCCAAAATAAGTTGTCTGTTAGTTGTTATCGTAAACTTTTAAAAATAAAATATCTAAACTACCCCTAAAATAAGTCACCCTTCTTCACCTTATCTTCTAATTCATAGTCACTCCTTCTAAAAAGTAATGACAATTTCGAAAAATCAATTCTATTGTCTTTTTTTTAAATATGCCCAAAAATCAAAACAGGCGATTTAAAACGGAACGGAGGGAGTACTAATTTGATTTTTATTTAATTTCTCAAAATCAAAACATAAAACTTTTTTTTATGAATTGAACATTTTTAGTGAGGTTGTTTGATGGATTGTTTAGAGCTAAGATAAGGTTGCTTCTGTTAATTCTACTTAAAATGGAGCAATTGGTGTTCCATTCTATACTTACATCAACTTTTTATTTTTAAAATAAAGTTAAGCACCTCACCTCTTTATTGCATTATAGTTCATCTAACAAATACGGAGTACTCATTAATTTGATTACTTTAAAATAAGGCAAATTTTATGGTGGATCTAAGGTCCACCATGGATCTAAGATCTACTCCCTCCGTCCCAGAGTATTTGTCTACTTTCATTTTTACACACCATCCAATACACTTTTTTAATCCATTTTATCTTATAATTTGTATATTAAAAAATTATAGAAATTATATATTAATAATCTATATGTTAAGACAAATCAAACAAGATCACACATGACTATATTTAGACTTACACATTGAGAGAATTTGATAAGTCAAAGTGCTTAGATGAACAGTTCCAAAAGTCAAAAGTGGACGAATATAGCAGGACGGAGGGATTACCATGGATCTCAGGTTCATCATAGACGTATTTATAAGCAAAATAAATATTTTTTACTATTTAAATAAGCATTTGTTTTTTAAATAAATAAAAAAAATTTATGTGAAAAAGTTTACAAAAATGATATGCACCCAAGGTGCACCAATGAAACACTTAAAAACTATTTAAGTAATGATATTTTGTAACAGTGCACAACTATCTTTATAGTCATATTATCAAAAAATTTGCATTTCGGGGGGGGGGGGGGGA